ATAGAGAACCATGAAACGAAACATAAATACTGGAAATTCATAAATTTGACGGTGGATTTGTGAGACCCCTGGTGATGTATTCAGAGGAAGCTATTCAATAATATGTAAATAATGAACATCTGCAATCAAACAGTCAAACCTGCAATCGCACGATGAGTGCTGAATTAATGAGTTCTAGTAGGCAGAAAAACGAAGTCATAAAATAAAACGCGAAATGTTAGAAACATGCAAATCTTGGTTAAATGCCACCATTACATGATGAACGATGACTCTGTTCGACCTGTTGAAGACTGCGAATTTTTCAACGCATCATGATGTTTATAAAAAAAGATATTCATTCTCATTAAGTGAGGCTAATAATTGAATAATATACAGTAACTGCATGATTAAGAGCTACATGTCATACCCATGAACATGACAGACATACCTTCCTTTTGTAGGAACTGGGTCAAGGTGGCTTCAGTGGACGGTGAATCCAACCGCAAGCTCTTCTTCACATCCTTCTCCGACGTCGACTCTTCAACACATGGCAGTCGCAGAAGTTTTTTCACAGATGAAACTAAAAAATAATGTAATATATCATTAGAAAATTCCTCGTTAAAAAGTTGCGAATTTGTTTCACTTGCATTACTGCAACTTAAACAGCACATATAAGTTTTATTTATTAACTACCATTTAATGTTTAAAACATTTCTTAAACCATAATTTATTTCATGTCCATTTTGCAAATGGATGTCCATCTGACATCAGCGTCGAAATACAGTAATGATCCCGAAGGAAAAAAGTATTTATAGAGAAAATATTACTACGTGAGCACTTCAATCAATTTATGTATTTCTAACCTTTCCTGATCCAATCTCAACAGGAGAGTGACAAAGGATCGCAACGAAACGTCACGATCCGTAATAAGCTAGTACAAGATCGGGTTTTATTTTTCTGTATAAATATGCCTGCGGATCATGGCATATTCGCAGGTGTCCGCATAGGTTCTTGTTTGGCCCTGCATAGTGATGAAGTTCAGCACCAATGCACTGCAGGTGCTCACATACCATGGAGCCGTGGCCTGCTTAAATAATCCCCTAGGTCACTGGAAGCATGGGGACGAAGTCTATGCCGCTTCAGTCCCGTATCAAAAACTGAAAAGGATCATGTACCTTTGCGGTGGGATCAATAAATAGCAGTATGCTAGTAAACTCGTAAGATCGGGATTTATTTTTTGTATAAAGCATATTCTTCCTTCTTTTTTTTCCAGCAGGATATATTTAACAGGGGTCGCCTGTTCGAGTGAACTCTTTGCATACATTTTTCTGTCTCTGGCTAAATCTTCGGTAATTCTAAGCAGTTTGATGCTATTCTTCACGGCACTGCGCAGCCTTTTCTTTGGTCTTCTCTTTCTTTTCTTTGCCAGTAGTATCGCTGCTTGAACCACACTTTCAACGTACTGTTGAATCGTTTTAGAAAGGACTTAAACAACGGAAACTGTTTTCGATGAGCCTTTCTGAAAATGATGCTATGCTTAAAGTGCTTCTTATGTAGGTGCTCCCGATATGGTCATTTTTGCTGGCATCACACAGCCACCTGAGCACTCACATTTGTATGGAGTTTAGCTGTTTTTCGTGTCTCTTCAGGATCAGAGAACATTCTGATTCCTTCGAATCATTCTGAATGCCGCTCGATACTCTCCATCTCAGCCACGCTCTTTTAGACTGATCTATAAATTGTAGGACAATTTCCTCCTTGCCTGGCGGGGTGGTACAAAGTCTCAAGTTTGAAGCAACATATTCCCAGATGTGCATTTTTTCACTAATCTGTTGGCTTTCACTCTGTACTTCGACTGAAATAGCCAATCATGTATTCTAACTTACTCTTCTGAATCCTGAAGACCTCTTGAAGACCCTCAAAGGCTGTTCTCTACGCCTCAATTTTTGTTCCTGCTGCATCTCTGCTTTCGCTGCAGAGCATAACTTCATTTCCATAGAGCATGCATTATAGGGCTGTTTTCTGTGGATCTTAGTTACTCCATACGTCGCCATCGAGAACAGAAATGGGCTCAGTGCAGATCCTTGGTGCACCCCTAATCGCACCAGGAATTATTCCATTTAGTCACATGTACTTCGAAATATCGTTGCCACTCGGTCGTATGTGTCCTTGGTAAACCTGACATACACTTAAGCCATCAGCTTCTTTCTTATGCTACATTAAATTGTCTCGGAATTCGGTCAGAAACTTTCTCCCGGACTAGGAATACCAGGCGAATGTCCTTGCAGTCTTTCATCTGTTTCGAGGACTGGTCTTAAAGCAAGGACGTTGTCCGTAGATAAGCGGTCTGGCATAAAACCAAACTGGTTCGCAGTGATATCGACCTCTTTTCTCAGTCTTTTATCCTGCACCTTTTCGTGTAGCTTAATGACATAGATAAGCAGTAGACCTCTACTAGAGGCAAGTATGCCTTATTTCGCTTTATATATTGGAATCAAAATACTTTGCCTCCACAATTACGGCATCTTTTCACATTCCAAGATTTTATTAAATAGTGCACAGAATCAAAACACATCTTCTTGGTCAATGTCTTCTCTGCTTCTAGAGAAGCATGGTTGACTTCGGGTAAGATCTTTTCGAATAACCCCTAGTAGTTTCGCGGGATCACTTACGAGGCCTCTCGGGAATGTTCTTCGTTCAGCATCGTTTGAAAGCGTCTTCGCCATGGCTCAGGAATATTTTTTCTCTCGGTCAGCACCTCGCCGTTTTTGTCTTTTATGCACTTCAATTTACCGACGTTTCTTGTTTCAATCTCTCTGACTTTTGCCACGCGATTGGCTTCCCCATTTCCCTCGATGTCGGTTTATCCAATAAGCACTTACACGTTTTCGACCTTGCTTCGGCGACAACTTCCTTTGCCTCCGCTTTTCAATCGTTCTCATGCACAAATTGATATTTGCCATTTCTTGAACAGTTCTTTGTCTGCGGCACAGTCACCCGCACTTACGTCTTATACAATCGCGTTTTTCTCTGGACATGATGTGATTTGTCCATCACTGTCTATGACTAGACCTCTGGCATAACAAAAGAGCCCTAGGAACATATAACAATAAAACCACACATAATCTGTTTTCCAAAGATGAGACAAAATAGAAATAAAAATAACTCACGACATTCCGAACCGTTGTCGAACTTCAGTGGTGGCACATGAACGGGGCCGACTGTTTTACTACGCTGAGCTGAAGCCG